CTGCAGGACACTGGAAGACAGATTTCACGTTCACAGGCTGAAAAAGGTCTGTTCTGGTTTGTCCTCACTGATTCACTCTTTGACTCAAATCAAAACCATCCCTGATTATTGTGTCAGAAAACACCTGATCGGTCTACGAGTGGCGCACTTAAATGGAAAAAAGTTCATGTTAGATTTATGTGGAGCTAAATTGGGGCCATAAAGTTTATTAAAACATATTAAATTTGAAACTGATAAACATTTAAAACTGAAAAAAACAATGTAAATTGAAGAAAACCTATAAAAAATTGATTAAAAAGTTCAAAAATGCTTGTATAAAATAACAAAAATGTGGAATGCCATTGTATCATATAATTAATGAAGTCTCACAGGCCATTGTATCATGTTGTTAACAATATAAGGCAAGCCATTGTGTCATAGTTTAACCCTAAGGAAGATTGTTGTATCATACAATTGATAAAGTATGGCAGGCTGTTGTATCAAAATTTATACTATGGAACATTGTATCATATAATTAACAATGTTTAGCAGTCCATTGTGTCATGTTTTAACAATGTGGAAGGTCATTATATCATATAATTAGTACTGTATGGTAGGCCATTGTATCCAAATTTAACTGTGGAAGGTTGTATCATACATTTAACCATGTATGGTAGGCTGTTGTGTCATAATTTAAAATTATGGTAGGTTGTTGTTTCAAATGATTATTGTTGTATGACAGGCCGTTGTATCATTTAATTAGCAAGTACGGCAAGTCATTGTATCAAATAATTAACCATGTATGGCAGGTCATTCTTTCATGTAATTTGACAGTATGGCAGGTTGTTCCATCATATAGTTGAAAAAAAAAAGTATGGCTGGATGTAGTATTGTCTAACACAAAATGTGGCAGGTTGTTGTATCATATAATCAAACTTACCATTTTTTATTTCAGTTTCAAACTTTTTTTTAATTTCTGTCGAATAAGTTCTTTTTTAGTTTCTAAATTTTTCTTTCAGTTTAAAAAAGAGGGAAAACAATTGAAAACAAATGTTTGGCTCCAATTTAGCTCCATAGATTTACTGTCAATAAATAATTAAATATTAAGATTCTGGACTCATCTTTGGGTGAAGCTTTCTTAAAGCCTGCAGAGTGAAGCAGTGAGGAACCACAGGCCAGATGTGGGAATTACCTTAACTGCTATAAAAGCTGAGCCATCTGAAATAAATTACCGTAAGTTACAGAAGAGCTGCACCTTCTAAAAATGAATTATCATAAATGTGAGCAAATCTGAAGCACATAAATTAAATTACTGTAAATTATAGAAAAGCTGCACGACCAAAATATAATTATTATGAATGGTAGGAAATCTATGTCTAAAATGAATCCTAAACAAAAAATTAATTACTGTCAATTCTGGAAAACATAATTTGTATTTTGATGTATTCATTTATTTATTTTAATCTCATTGATCAGAATTCCCACTTTAGGATTTATCAGATGTCCCTCTGATAGAAGCATTACTTTTAGGAATTTAAACACTTTTATGTTGTTTTAAATTAAGTACTGCTTTTTTAAAACTCCACATATCCATTCAAACTGTAACAATTCTAGTTATTATCACAGCAAAATGTCGTTTTTTTTCTCCTCGACACTGCGTGACTTCAACACTGTTGAGAAATAAAACAGCTTTTACCACAAAGCAAATCAGGCTTTGGTGCTGAAGCTGTGAGTGACACTGATCTTTTTTTTTTTTTGCATGTGTGTGTGTGTGTGTGTGCGTGTGTGCATGTGTGTGT